TTTCTTTAATTTTGAACGAAGATATCTTGACACCTATCAAACCGAAGTCGATAAAATGTTTTTTATTTGAATTTTCTGGATTCATAGCATTCGAATAAAAAAAGTTTCGTCGGATTTAGTCAAGTGGTTGTCGAGATATATTTGCTCAAATTAGAGAAAATAGTTGGAATCAATTGTCATAATATCAATTACCCGTGGTAAAATGAAAATTGGTACAAATAACTCTCGTTATAGTGAGTTTTCGTTATAGTGAACTCTCAATATGGTGAAGACTAATTATAATCTCGATATAGTGAAGTTAGACTTAAAGTTAGTATATATAAGATCACTATTATATACTGTAGTAAACATACTTTGATATAGTATGTTTTTTAAAAAATTTATTAATGGAACCGTTACTATGCCGATATTAATGTAACACGAATCAATATTAATGATATAAATTTCTATAAATATGATGGAACAAAGCCATTGTAAATGTGAAATTTTCTTTGCGGTATCACTAATGACAAATATGGAAAGCGGGTAAACTTAAGTTATCTTGACAACAATCGAATTATTTATCGCACAGTATAATTCACTAAATTTATTAATTATGCATATTTGGAGAATCTCCACCAAATTATTTGTCACTATATTCATCCTTTTTGGTTGACAAATTACTGAAAGTTTCATTTTATAAAGACTTTTTTCATGTATACTGTATATGTATTGTCAACACAATCATGTAACGTAAAGAAACTAGCTTATGACCCAATCATATAAGTTATATATATTTTGAACGTTTAATCTTAACAATTAAGTTTGTTAGACAAATTTGATTAGAGAAACAAATAATCTAAAATTGCGTTTCATTATAATATTTCCTTTTTTAGATTACGAATATTCGAAATTTCCTAATTTGGAAATGTAATCAACGTTAAGAAATTGAGAATTATGCAAAGAAAATTGTTTACTTAATTCTAACTGCTATAAAAAAATTCTACTGTTTATTGCATGGGTCTTATGTGACGAACCGTGCTTTTTTAATTTACTTGCCGTATAGTTCCGAAATAAAGCACCCATTTTTTGTCATAAGAGGATATAATTTTAAGAATAACTAATATTGAATTTTTGTACTAAGCAAACTTACCTTCTGTTTCTAAGTAAAACTGTTCCCCCAGGTCAAGACAATCCTAACGGCAGTAAAATCATAAAAATTTGTCCAGTAGAACTTTACATGATCTGCATACTCGTAAACAAAAGTCGCCCGAGCTTTGAAAAGCAATTGTAAGAGTTCTACTGATGATCTTACTGCCGTTAGAATCGTCTTGACTTAGAGAATAAGTTTACTTAGAGACATAAAGGAGACTTGCTTAGTAAAATCAGATACGATTATACATAGAGGGTGCTTATTTTCGGATATTACATAAAATTTGATGGTGCTTAATTTCGGGAACTATACGGTACGGTATTGGCACGGTATATAACCCAGTTACACACACGGGTCACGTTTAAATCCCGTGCCTTCTGCCGAAATATGAACCCGTGTGTAACTAGGTTATTATACATACCCATACAGTAACTATAAATTATTACTGTAAAGTAAATAAAGAGAAACTAATTCTAAGTTTTGCTTGCACGTTTTCTGAATTTCAATTTAATAAAATGGAGAATAACAAGAAAGACGGAAAAGATAGAAAAGCTTTTGTAAGTCAAACATACTTTAAACTAATTTACTATTCTGAGTTATATTCTTCAAACTATGAGAATAGAATAAAACTTTATGATAAGATATTATCCGAAAATACGGAACTTACTTCAGAAGAAAAACAATCTTGTCAAGATAGAGCTTTAAGAAACACTGAGAGAGAGAAAGAATTGTTTAAAAGAGGCAATCCAATAGAATGTAGTTATTGCAGGTTAACAAGATATTCAACTCGCTACTGTGAAAATTGTATTATAAAATATTTAAAAAGCTTCTTTGGAACTTGGTCATCTGGATGTGATACACTGGCAATCATAAGTAGTGCAACAAAAAAAAAATTTCACTTACATCATACTACCTCCCGCAATTCCGGGC